ATGCTCATGATGTCGGATTATACATCTATTACAAAAAGTATGTGCACTTGCAAGAAGACCAGAAAGGAGGAGGCATTCGGAGTGTTATTATGTCTTGAGGACTTGAGCAAATGGAACGACGAGCCAAATATATGTTCAACTATTGAGGGAGTAGCCAAGTCAGGTGGTTTCTCTCATCCAAGTTTTGATGTCTTCAGGAATTGCTCCTTAGGAACCTTTCGACATTTCTAAGGAGAACATCGAGACATTGGATTGATCTTGCTACGGTGCTGCACCAAAGTTAGGCATTAAGTTGGCGTGAACATTGTCGATTGTTGTAGATCACACGAAGGACTATCATGATCCTGAAGTAGCTAGGATTTGCAACATTTCAAAGACCATCGGAACTGTTGGTTTTCTTGTGGTGGTAGGTTTGTGTTATAGACTTTCTCCTCCCGGTCAACTCTGATTGTCCTGCACTTGCACCAGGCCCTCCACCAGGATGAGGACTCATACACTCCATGTTTGGTACACTTACCTGTATTGGGGTGGTTTCAGGGGACAGGTACATAAATATTCCATCCACGGAGTGTTTGGCGGTATAACTACACAGAGGGAAACAGGGCCCAAACTGAGGGTTCAGAAAGGGCCCCCTGTTGGAGGCTCCTGGCGTGACAGTGGGCCTCTCGAAAGAGATCGAAATCCCCACAGGCCAGGTCGGGCGGGCCGCGCCATCCGCATGTGAAGATGCCAGATTCAGGTTTCTGTGAGTGGGGCTGGTCCAAAAGGAATGATGGTGGCCTAAAGTCTTAAGAGAACCATATATACTGTATCATATTATATCATATGTAGTTGGTATGAAGGCCGCTATGTGGCCTTCTGTGGCACCCATGTCCCACTTTCATGGTTGTTGGAGGGGAGGTTGCCCAAAAATCGGCAGGGGGCATGAAGCTCAACGTTTTGCTTGTGGCATTTTTGCGTTTGACAATACATTCAGGTTGGAGGCGTTAGAATAGAGTCCTCCATGTTTTGCCGGCTGTGGAATCGCACGTTTCATCGAGCCCCTGCGGGCTCTTTCCATGCCGTCTCTAGTTGGACACGAAGTGTGTGATAGCGACCAGTAGCCGTAGGAAACGTCTTGCAAACATGTTTCCGTAGCCGTTCATCCATAGTTTCGCTTCGACTGATGAAAAGGTGTGGTTTTCTGCCCCTGCGGCCGGTCTTGCGGCCCCTGCAGGTGTTCCTGAGCAGGGAAGTTAGGAGCCTCAAGCTTCAAACATCGCAGGCAGTACCGTGCCTAGATGGCGCTGTGAGAGCCATCCAGCGGAATTCCATGTTGCACTTGCAGGCAACCACCGATTCCTGATCGGGTTTACAAACAAACAAAGAACAGGTTCCAAGAGTTTCTCTCAGTTGCTTTCTTTTAGAGGAGTGGATGTTCTGGATAGTGCATGGTATCCTGAAACTTCACAAGGATACCGGAAACCACCACCGGAACAGCATTGTCAACATTCACTCGAAACGTTCACTCCTTCCAACTTCCAACATGGGGTCATTGATCCACGTCTCACACAAAGCTGCGGATGTGTGAAGCTTGCGGCCTCTCCGCCCCATGGTGGTCTTCATGTTTTTCGGTTCCACCACGAGACGAGATCTTCAAACGAGGGTCCTCGTCAGGGAAAATCCTCCCGTCGGCGACAAATCATGTCGCCCAGGAAGGCTTTCAAGATAGGATGACCTGGGCAGATTCATATGAACTATGGCGAGATCAGCCTCACATGGCTCTTTTTGCCTGTGCGAGTGACCCTCCGCTGGTATCAAGGTACAACTGTAGCCCGAGTTTGGACCAGCCGATTCATGAAGGTTCATGCTCATGCATCTTCTATGTTCCACAACCATGACGTCGCATTACTCTGCCCAGGATTATTGCGGTTGTACCATAGGCCTAATGGTTGGCACGAGAGGTACCTGAATAGCTCGATCTATTACGTACAAACCATGTTGACCGTTTTCTTACAAACCATACAAACCATGTTGACCGTTTTCTTTAAAATTGAAAAGACCATGTTCTGGCTCCAAACCACCACGGGACACTCAGATTCTAATTCGGTGTGTATAATTAGTCATATACAAAGATATACAAAGGAAACGACTCTTGGGACAAAGTCTTGTGCAGCTGCCCAACCATCGCCTGTTGCAGCCGGTCTTTTAGCCCGTTTTGTGGCGACAGCAGTAGCCTTGCCGCCTGGCCGACCATCACACACTTTCTTGGCAGAACATATCAACGTTTTGTCACAGAACCGACACCATTTCTGCATGGCATCCGAATGACGTCGATGGCTCCTGAATGACGTCAATGTGGCTCGGCTTCGTCGTGGCTCCATTCGTTCGGCTTCACAGTGTGGGAACCGGTCGGCATGTTTCACCGTGTCACCGAGTGTGCGGGGTGTGCGGAGCTGGTCGACCCGTTTTCGGGATGGCGATGGTAGGAATGGTCAAGGAAGTGGTGTTGGTGTTTGTTTTGTCTCTACTCCATACAGGAAATATTGGTGCTACTTGATGGTGTTGGTTTTCTATGGTTATCATGACCGACCAGCTATATTTCCCAAACATTCCCAAACAGTCCATCCAATCCAAAAGAAGTAAGAAACACATACAAGCCCCCGACCTGGAAACTGCAAACTGGTGGTTCTATCTCGCAACGGTGTGGGTACTTTCTGTGATTGGAAAAAGTTCACCCAACAAAATCAGCCACTGTTCACTGTTCCTTACCCAGACACTCCATGGGACTAGCATAATATAACTACATTGGGGTGGTTTCAGGGGTCAAGGTAGGTATAATGTCAACCCCGGATTAATCTGCCCCCCCCCCCACATAGAGGGTCAACAAGGTCAAGAAGGTATGAGATACCACTCATGAGGTCCACTCCCCCTGAATTATCGGCTTAGGGAGCCATCGTAGTCGTAGTCGTAGTCGTCGTCGGTAGTAGGTAGTAGGTAGCAGGTACAAGGTAGTAGGTAGCAGGTAGTAGGTAGTAGGTAGTAGTAGGTAGTAGGTAGTAGTAGGTAG